TTTTTTTATGTTAATATAGCTTTTTTTTATAAATTTTTTTTTTTTCAATTAATGTTTATTTTATTTCATGTAGCAAAATGTTTTCATGGTTTTATTTTAAGTAAACTACAATCATTGTTTTTTTTTTGTATCATTAAGATGCTATTATGATTCTAATATTAATATTTTCAATTAGAGTTTATTTTTATGTTTCCCGTTTCATTTTAATTAAAAAAATAAAATATTTGTAATTTTGTTGTGTTTTTGTTGTTAAAATACGTATCGATATAGTTTTTATGATTTTAGTTTTTCAATTTCTTTATTTTATTTCAGTTAACATTTATTTTATTTAAAGTAACACATTTTTATGGTTTTATTTTTAGTAAACTATAATCAGTGTTATTTTAGTGTCACTGAGATACTATTATAGTTTTTATATTTTCAAATAGTTTTTATTTTTATGTTTTTCATTTGAATTTAGTTAAGATTTTAGTCATTTTTATGTATGTTTATATAGTTTTTTATTATTTTTTTAATTAAGTTTTAGTTTTAGTTATTGTAGTACAGCAAGTTAAACTAAATTAGATTAGAATTTAGGAATGTTGCCTTGGCAACTAGCTGAAATAAAATAAGTTTTTTATATATATATTTTAATTTATGTTTATTTTACTTCAGGCAACCGAAATGTGTTTTATGGCTTTAGTTTTAGTTTCAGTTAACTATAATAATAACCTTTTTACACACTACATTATGAACTTACACAAAGCTCCACATGACATTAAATTCATTAGATTCTTTTATGTGATAATTGCTGGACAATTTTATGCACATGATCACATCACAGAGGGTGTATTACTAGTATCTCATCTTAATAAATATCCTAAACTGAACATCTCCGCATTGATGGCATCAGGAACGCATTCATTATGATCAGCAGATGGCAGCATGTTGACATGTTGATTGGTAAAAGCTTCATATGAGAAGAGATTTCCAATTCATTTTTAATATTAAAATAAAATGATACGCAGCCTAATTAAGACGCTCTGATGCTGCTGTAATGTTGTTGGTTTTGCACAATCCAAATTGTCAAATTATTGTCTTACGAATATGCTAACATAAAAAGCTAATATGCTAGTATTCATTTCCAAACATAACCATAGTGCAGTAGTTTTCAACCGGGGGCCTCAGCAAACCTCTAAATGATTTAAAATAAGCATTAAAGTAAACTAAAACTTTTAAAAATGAAGTTATTTCTTATTTTTATACATCCTTGTTGGTCCTAGAACAACATATTTTTCAATGAGATGTTAGAAACAAGAAAAATAATTGGTTTAGAGTTTGGATTGAAGCTTGAAATACATAATTTGTGATTAATTTCCTAGGAAAGTTATGCAGTTGAGTCAGTTGTTAATGAATCTTAGACACAAACAGCAGACTTTGATGTTGGATGGTCATTTAACGGCCCTTCCTATCAGGCCGAGCCCCTGTCCCTTCATGCAGAAGCAGTTCGGAGTGGTTTGGTATCCTCTGCAGAGCGCCGCCTCAGTGCCGCACCTGCACAGGTTAGTGTTTAGCCCCGCCTCCGTCTGATCATGTGACCACTCAGACGCACTCTCACTCTGTCCAATGAAAGCACTTTCCTGTCCTGAGTCCTAAACTTCACTGCAAAACATCCCGATGCATGACGAACACCTCCACCACCATCCTGACTAAATCCTCACTGACCTTCATTTAATTTTATTTATTTTTTTTTTTAGCTTGATCAAGTTGGTCAGAACTGTTCCTCTGTGCTGCACCTGGCTCTCGCTTGCTACTGAAAATAAAATAAAATGTTATTTGCAGAGTGGCACAAGGAAGATGGATGCAAAGGTTCCCTGCACTCATTCTCTTGTGTTTGTGTTTATTTCTCTCTGCTGTATGCCATCTCTGAGATCTCCACCAATCGCAGCCTAGTAGTATCCACATAGCAACACCATAGCAACCCCAAGAACAACCTAGTGACCACATAGCAACTCCAGAACACCCTAGCAACCACAAGGCAACACTCTAGAAACCCCATAACAACACCATAGCAACAGCATAGCATCACCCTAGGCATCCCTAGACACCCTAGTATCCACATGGCAACACCCTAGAAACCTTATAACAACACCATAGCAACAGCATAGCATCACCCTAGTATCCACATAGCAACACATGGCAACACCCTAGTGACCACATAGTGACTCCAGAACACCCTAGCAACCACATGGCAACACTCTAGAAACCACATAGCAACACTGTAGCAACCACATAGCAGCAGCGTAGCATCACCCTAGCCATCCCTAGAACACCCTAGTATCCACATAGCAACACTATAGAAACCACCAGAACACCCTAGTGACCAGACGACAACACCCTAGAAATCACATAGCATCACCCTAGTCATCCAACACCCTAGTATCCACATAGCAACACCACAGAAACCCCCAGAACACCCTAGTGAGCACATCATTCTGTGTTTGTGTGTGTTTCCCTCAGCTGTATGCCGTCTCTATGCGAGGTCTCCACCAATCGCAGCCTGGATAACCTGGACTGTCTGATGGGAGCGGATGAGGCGGGTCTGCAGCACTGGGACGCTGATGGGGGATTCGGTCAGCGCTGCTCTACACTGGGACGAGGCTCCACCATGGGCCAGGTCACAAACAACCCCCAGAACACCCTAGTGAGCACATAGCAACTCCAGAACATTCTAGCATCACCATAGCAAAGCCCAAACCCCCCAAGCAGCCATAAAGCAACACCATGGCAACCCCCTAGAACGGCCTAGTGAGCACATAGCAACTCCAGAACATTCTAGCATCACCATAGCAAAGCCCAAAACCCCCTAGCAACCATAAAGCAACACCATAGCAACCCCCTAGAACAGCTTAGTGACCACATGGCAACTCCAGAACATTCTAGCATCACCATAGCAAAGCCCAAAACACCCTAGCAACCATAAAGCAACCCCATAGCAACCCCCTAGAACAGCTTAGTGACCACATAGCAACTCCAGAACATTCTAGCATCACCATAGCAAAGCCCAAAACACCCTAGCAACCATAAAGCAACCCCATAGCAACCCCCTAGAACAGCTTAGTGACCACATAGCAACTCCAGAACATTCTAGCATCACCATAGCAAAGCCCAAAACACCCTAGCAACCATAAAGCAACCCCATAGCAACCCCCTAGAACAGCTTAGTGACCACATAGCAACTCCAGAACATTCTAGCATCACCATAGCAAAGCCCAAAACACCCTAGCAACCATAAAGCAACACCATAGCAACCCCCTAGAACAGCCTAGTGACCACATAGCAACTCCAGAACATTCCAGCAACCACATAGCAACACTCTAGAAACCACATAGCAACACCGTAGCAACCACATAGCAACACTCTAGAAACCACAGCAGCAAAGCATCCTAGCAGAGAGTTTTGCTCTGTCAACGCCACTCACATGTACTTCTACAGATGTTAAACCTCTTGTAAATGTGTGCGCTCTGCATCACAGAGCAAACGCTAAAATGTGTCAGAGAGGTTTTGCTGTTCACTTGACCTCAGGAACGGAGTGTTCCAGATTAAAATGCTGTAAGACATCCTTAAGCTAGTTTAAGGAGACACGGAGGGTGGGAAATCAGTTGGAGGGCATGTTTTCAGGACGAGATACTCAAACGTTCGCTCTACTGATGGAGACATCAAGACTCCTGAAGCGAGACGAGGCTCCGAAACCTTTTCTTAAGAGGAAAGAGCATTGATCTGGTTTGCTGAATGGGATAATGTGCTGTGAAGGCTGATGGATGATTCAGAAGTTGTTTCTGAGATGCTGTTGGATGCTGGGATCAAAGGGAAAGAAGTCAGGAAAAATTAGGACAGCAGCTAATTTGCAGCACTTACAAGTATTTTTCCTGGGAATTGACTTGTGATTTCTAACTCAGTGAGCTCTAAAGGTGCAGTTTGAGGTGTTTTACTGTTAGTTTGCTTTTAATTTTTGGGGTTTACCCTTGACAAACTCACATAACACTCCTGTTCTGTTGTGTCTCTGCGAGAAGTGTCTCCTGCTGGACGAACAAACACAAACTCTCTCTTTACTCTTTGCTGTTAGGCTTTGAGAGAGTGTGACCCGTGATTGTGTTTTGTTTGCAGGCTAGTTTGGAAAGACCTAAATATTCAACTGAATCATTTTGCCGTTGATTGACTCTCTGAGGCGTTTTCTGCATTCTGCCTGATGAATTTGGAGCAAAACAAAAGTTAAAATTATATTTAAGCAGAAGGAAAAGCAAAATTACTTGCATAGATATTAAAAACAAGGCTTTTTATTGAAGGCTTTTTTGTTGTTGTTTGCATTGTGTCATTATTTTCGTAATGCAGACATAAAAATTGTACTTTTGTAAGTTTTAGTGGGGATTCTCATTAGATTCTAAATAAAAACGCTGTATCACAGAAACATAAATTAATGTTGAAGCCGGACAAAAAATACTATAATGTTGTATAAATATTTTACTATTTAAATAACATATATTTAGTTTTTATCCACAATACAGTATTTATTTTTAAATATCTTAAGCAGTTCAAAACATATTATTAGACTTAAAATAGAATTAACTTTTTTCCATATTATATTATATTATATTATAAATATTTTAATATTATTTCAATTAATATTTTTCTACAATTTTCCCAGCTGTAGGGGAGTTTTTTGAATGAGACTTTGTGGTGAAATATGGTCTAAATTACAAGTATTTATTTTTTTTTCCACAATACAGTATTTTGTTATTTAAAAAATGACAAACAGTAATGTCATGGTCCAAAACATATTATTAGACCTAAAACAGAATTAACTTTTCTTTAAGAAAAATACATTTTCTTTTTATATTATATTATATTATATTTGAAATAGGTTTAATTACATTGTTTGCTAGACCGATACAAAACAATACAAACAATATTATTTATTTTTTTATTATTATTTTTTATTTAACAATTTTCCCAAGTGTAAGGGAGCTTTCTGAAATTTTTTTTTTGGGGGGTGAAAAAATTGTCTAAATTAAAAGCATTTTATACCAATTTATAAAGCAAACTCCTCATCCACAGACGAGGATCAGTACAACTGTGAAAGGAATACATTTAAGGATTTTTCATTTTAAGCCACATCATTTGTCGCATTAGACTGAATGGAAAGCACTCAAGCACACCTGCCGTTTCCTCTTCATGTCCGCACGACCATGCGTCAGTCCACCCTAAAGCGCCGGCCGCATCTCAGCCCGTGCGAGGCGCGCTTGTGGGTGGGCAGCGGCCGTCTGTTTCAACAGTTTCGGGATGTTTCAACCTGCACGTGTCCTTTCAGGTGGAGCAGGGCTACCGGAGCAGCGCGGCGTACCGTCAGCTGGACTCTCAGGCGCTGGAGGCCTTGGATCTGCCCACACCTACCTGCTTCCGCTCCCGGAGCCACAGTTACCTGCGCGCCATCCAGGCCGGCTGCTCTCAAGACGACGATACGGGCTCCGTGGACTACGACGAGACGCCACCTATAACCTCATCCATCAGCAGCTACAGCAGCGCCACCGGTGAGTAATAAACAAGCACACGTTCATACAGGATCACATTCATGGACCTGCTGCTTACCGTAAAAACTACAGCAAAATCAAAAGAAAAGACTGATTACATTTTGTGTAAAGAAAGTCAAGCCTGTTTTATGACCGTTAAGATTGTTTCCATTGTAACATTATTTTCGTGACAGCGATGCACTTTTCTTCCTTAAATTCTCATTAAGTAAATATCCATACTGTATTATGAATAATTTACACCAGCATAAAATAAAAGCCAGACAAAACAAATAATATCATGATATATAAGTATTTTACTATTTAAATTACATATCTTTAATTTTTTTAAACATCATAAATCATAAATGTCTTAATTTTTCTTTGAGTTAAATATATTTTATTTATTTTTTGGGGGCGGTGAAATATAAGCTTGCATTCATAGCATTCATCATAAAATAGTTTTTTCACTGTTACAGTACCGTTCAGAAGTTTGAGGTCATTGTAATTTTTTTTTTTTGGAGAGAAATTAATACTTTTTTTTTTCAGCAAGAATGCACAAAATCGAAAGTGACAGTAAAGACATTTATAATGTTACAAATGATTTCTATTTCAAACAAATGCTGTTCTTTCGGACTTTCTATTCATTTCAACTGTTTTCAACATTGATAATAATCAGAAATGTTTCTTGAGCAGCAAATCAGCATATTAGAATGATTTCTGAAGAATCATGTGACACTGAAGACTGGAGTAATGATGCTGAAAATTCAGTTTTGATCACAGAAATAAATTATAGTTTACAATATATTCACATAGAAAACAGTTATTTAAATTTGTAATAATATTTCACAATTTTTTTATTTTAGGTTTAATGAAATAAATGCAGCTTTGGTGAACAGAAGAGACTTCTGTCAAAAATCATACTGACCCCAAACTTTGAAATGGTACTGTATGTTGTCATTTGTGGTTTATGACTGCATTTACAGTAAAATATTTTATTACATGAGAAACTGAAAAAAAGGCAGTGAATGATTGATGCATTTGATATTACTGTATAATCACTGAACACTTTTAAGCAATGATGCCGACCACTGAAAAAAAAATTGACCTGGCTGTCATGTATCACAGGGATAGCGCTGAATTTGCACATGCAAAAACGAAAGTGTTGATAAAATAGACAAAGTCCACAATATGCAAGATAATAACATCCTGATAAGCACAGGTCTCACGGACTTTTTACTGATCATTATGTCATTTTATTGCCTCCAGAGGTGGTGTCAGTGAAATCAAACAGGCCTTGTTTTTCTTTCTCAGTAATAAAGACTTTAGTGTGAAGTCGGATCTCTTTTGCTTTGAGAGGTCGGCATGTGGGCAAGTCCAGACAGATGATCTGGAGTCATGGTGCGAGGGTAAGAACAGCCACTAGTCCATGACGACTGTCTCATGATGGTCCTCTTAAAGGGATAGTTCACCTCAAAAATGAAAATTCTCTCATCATCTACTCACCAATTTCATCTCAGAAGGCTTATGTAGAAGCACATGAGGCGTATGGTCTACTTTGGTCTATTTTGGAGACAAACATAATCAGGCTTTTGGAAGGATTTGGTCCTTTTCACTTAGTTCATTTGGTCAAGATTATGGAAGCTTGTTTCCTCAACGGAATCAAAAATAAAGATAATTACGACTTTTTATCTCATAGTTCTGACTTATTTTCTTGCAATTCAGAACGGCAAGATATGAACTCACAAATGTGAGATATGAATTTGCAAATCTGAGAAGGACAGTCTATATTGTGAGATACAAACTCAGAATTGCAAATTGCAAAAATTGTAAAAAAAAAAAAAAAAAAAAAGTAAAACTCAGACATCTGGGGAAAAAAACAGTCTGAACTGTAAGATGTAAACTCAGAAATCTGAGAAAAAAAATGATTTGCAAGATGTAAACTCAGAAATCTGAGAAAAAAATTTAATTGCAAGATTTAAAATGAAATATGAGAAATAATAGAATTGTGAGATGTAAACTCAGAAATTTGAGAAAAAATTGAATTGTGAGAAAAAGACAGAATTTCAAGACCTGAGAAAAAAATTGTGAGATGTCAACTCAGAGTATATAGGAAAACAGAATTGTGAGAAAAAATGAGAATAATGAGATGTAAAATCAGAATACAGTGAAAAAAATTTGAGAAAAAAATTAATTGCAAGATGTAAACTCAGAAATCTGTAGAAAAAATTGTCAGAATTGCGAGATGTATAATCATAAATCTGAAAAAAGTCAGAATTGAGATGTAAACTCAGAAATCTGAGAAATAATAGAATTGCGAGAAAAAAAATTAGAATAGTGAGATGTAAACTCAGAATGCATAGAAAAATATCAGAATTGCAAGTAAAAAATAAAAATTGCGAAATGTAAACTCAGAATACAGAAAAAATTGGAATTGCGAGAAACAAACGAGAATAGCGAAACGTAAAATCAGAATAGTGAAAAAAATTTGAGAAAAAAATAGAATTGCAAGATGTAAACTTAGAAATCTGAGAAAAATAGAATTGATGCAAACTCACAATTGTGGGTTTATACCTTGCATTTCTGAGGAAAAGAGTCAACTCGCAATTCTGAGTTTATAACTCACAGTTGTGAGACATAAACTCACAACCCTGAGGAAAAAGTTAGAATTGTGAGACATAAACTTGCAATTGAGAGAAAAAAGTCTGAATTGTGAGATTTATAACTTGTAGTTCTGAGGAAAAAAGTCAGAATTGATGTAAACTTTTGCCCGTGGCAGAAACAAGCTGCCATACAAGATCCATTAGGCTACTAGTTTATAACGTCTCAAATGGCCACTGCCAAGATGTCCCACTCTCTCTCACACACACAAAATCTTCTGACCTACATTAGTGCTGGTGGTGTCCTGCGGAGATGAGTCCTTCAGCTTAACGGCTAATGTTTCTCGGCCCATAATGACCGACTCTAGCAAAACTTCCACTGCAAATTAACCGGTTTTCAGAGGAATTAACCGACATCAAGCGGATTCGTTTGGCACAACGCTTAATAAACCAGCAGCCAGTGGACCGTTCTGATTTTGCAGTTGATCTACTTTATTTGTATCGCATTTTACTGTATTTTGATAGGTCTTACAATTTGAAAGGCGAACATAGTCCAGATGGATTCAGTCAGACAACATTCCCATCATTTCTTGATGATCTTGAAACGTGTTGATAAGGCTGACCACTTGTGTATGTACAAAGCACAGTTGTATACGCTCAGAATAGCAAATAATGAAATCTAGTCTATTTGTGGAGAGGAATCTGACTAATGCTATTTCGTTTAGGTAGCAAGCTGTCAAGAAAAAAATAATCTTGGCCATCTGTTTACCATTTCTGCAACAAAAAAAAAAAGCCCTGTGCTATTTTTTGCCTGTTCCATGACTATATTTGGCATAGCATACTTTCTTACTCTTATACTATGCTTATTGTGCACAGCAGTTCCGATTGTGTTTTTTTCAGTATATGCATACAAATATATTTGATAAAATAAGCAGCTTATTAAATTAAATTTAATGCGCTTGACTTGACCTTCTATTCCCGGCGTGATGAATCACTCGGAAGTAATATCGGCATCAATCCCTTTCATTTGATCAGAGTGTAAGACATGTTTACACAAAATTTGATATTTTGCTAAATTATAGCTAAACATGTAGTGAGGTCATGTGACCACAATTTAGCAAAATACTGTTTATGGCAGAATAATGCATACTGTTTCACTTAGTAAGCAGTATATTAAACAGCATTCCGTAATAAGCCGTTTTAGTAACATTTAGTAATTTTACTGAATAATGTCGCTACTTTTGCAAGGATCTATCAATTAAATAAAATTAGTGCTGTCAAACGATTAATCGCATCCGAAATAAAAGTTTTTGTTTACATAAACGAAAGGCTGAATCCTCCGGAGGTCGCATTTGCGGGGTGCATACGTCATCAAGCCTGGTTTATTTCAGTTAACTGAGCATTACATTCGCGAGTCATAAGCGTATTACAACAATTTACGCTTAACTAAGAATAATGGTCAAATTTATAACTGTTAATATATTCTAAAATAAGATCTTCTTTATGAAGTATGCAGCCTACAAATGTGACCTCTGGAGAATGCAGCCTTCTGTTTGAGAAGCGGCCAATATATGTGTGTGTACTGTGTATATTTATTATGTATATTAAATACACACACATGCATGCATATATTTCAGAAATATATGTTATATTTATATATTAAATATAATATTAATTATATGAATATAAATATATACATGTAAATGTTTTAAAAATATATGCTGTGTGTAATAATATATACATAATAAATATACACAGCACACACACATATTATGTAAACAAAAACTTTTATTTTGGATGCGATTAATCGCGATTAATCGTTTGACAGCACTAAAAATGAATGAATAAATAAATAAATATCCTTCAGTGGGCGATGTATAATAAAAACTAATGTTATAAGTAAAAAAAAAAAACAAAAAAAATTTTTTTTCTACAATTTTGGTTTGTTTGTTTTCAGATGCAGGAAGCCTTGCCAGATTGATTTCGATAACAGATGCCTTAAGATGTTGTTAGTAATTAACGTAGTAGTATTATTACACTCCGAAAAAAGAGAACGCTTTTTTTTTATTAAAAAAAGATAATAATAACAAAACAAATAAATTACTAGACAGGGGTGTAAAATTAAACAAAACACATTACATTCAAAGGAAAATATTAAACAGCTTGAAGAGAAAGAACCCGCGCGAAAGCGGGGATTTTGTGTGACGCACAAACAGCGATTCTGATTCGTCCGCGTCAAGCTCGTACGCCCCGCCCACCGACCAATGAGAGCGCAGCGAGTGAACGCCTCGAGCGCGTCTCTCTCCAATCCCGCGTCCTGAAAGCGGATTACCGGATCGGATCTTTTTCCTCGACTCCTCGAGACGTGGATGGTGGGTTCTGTTGAACGGAACGATTTTATAGCGGGTGGGTTCGGAAGCAACACAGAACAAAAAAACACCCTTTCAGTGGATCTTTTAATCGTGTCTTTTTTGTTTTACGTAACGGAATGGAAGTACGTCGTCGACGCTGATCGCTTCACACACAGAGGAAGAGGAAAAGGTGTGTGGATGTTTGTAACAAACGCGCGCAGCGCCTCGAGACAGCTCGCGTGGGCTGGTTTTGGCATGTGCTCGGGGTCAGAGGAAGTCACGAATAACACATCTGATGATTAGCGAGATTTAGCATCGGGAATGCATTTCCGTTGATCGTTTTAATATCAGATTTAGTGATATTTTAATTGCATTAGCAGGTTAGCTCACGTTAGCATGTTGTTGTGGCTTCTGGAGGTGTGTGTATGTTGATGCATCTGTCTAGACAGGCAAAGCATGGCAGCATTGCCTACCTGGACATGACAGCTTGCATTTCACGCGTGCAAAATACTGTTTCAGAGCATTGCATGCGTCTGGATCAACACTGCACGTGTGAGATCTGAATCCAGCCACACAAAGGCCGGTTTCTGTGCTCTGTGTTTTGAATTGAATGCCATTGTTTGCATTGCAAAGTCAGGGAGAGATAATATAACATTTGAAGAGAGCATGCATTGTTCTTGCTGCCCTGGTTTATGCTGAATATGTAAAGGATGCAGGACTCATATCTAAACCCAAACATAAGTTGCTCTCTCCTCAATCATGAGATTGCATGGAGAAATGTTGGAAAAGTTTGATTGTACTCTATATTTTCAGCCATACACACTAGTTTGTCCTACTTTCACTAGACTGTTTCTCTTCTTGGTAAACACTTGCTGTGCTTTGGAGAGAAGATGTGCACCTAATCTAAAAAACACGTCCTAATAAGGATAACAAGTGTGAATGTGATGAAAAGGACGGGCCATGTCTGTGTAGTGTAAGTTAGTCTGTTATGTCTTTGCGTTTATGGCTTGTATGGACCAAGGGCAGATTTATAATTTAATTGCGACATCACTCAAGATACTCAAAGGCATGGAGTCAGACTGACTTTTTCACTCCAACAATGTTCTAAATTTAAAGTAAAACTAGTTTAATTTTCAGTAAAAATAATAATTTAAAAAAGTTTGCGTATGAGCATCATATTTGATACACCAGGCTATTATGACTCGTATAGTATGATATAATGAGAACCTGGAGGAAAAAAACAGCTCTGACTAATCTCTAGCTCTGTTTTAATTCGAGGCCCAAGCTGGGCAAAAATATACAATTTGATGCAGATGTTTATATGGCAAAGAGATGAAATTCTGATAGCTTGCAATGTTAATCAATGAGATCTTTATAACAGTATAGCAGATACTTACATAAAATGCATATAAATACCTATTTTCACACTATAACCTATCTCCCAAAAACGTCTTAGTAAGATGATATTTAAATGCTTAGTTTTATGGTCATAACATATAATGCAATGCAATACAATGATGATTGAGAAATGAACAAATAAACATTCCTCAAATGCCTGATGGTCAAATTGGATACTCGCATTTGAACATGATCTTTCTTAAAAATGATGTATGCATAATCAGGAAAAAGTTCAGCAATGTTTTATCATTGGTGGCCATAGAAATTCATGTTTTAAATATGATACAGTAGCTTTATAGGGTTAAAGTGTTTGTGGAGAACTTAGTTGTTGATTTCCAACATGCTTTAAATCATTTACTCGCCCTTATGTTCTTTCAAACCTGTATGCTGTTATTTTTCCATTGCAGCACAAAATAATTTAAGGTCTTATGCATGAAACAGTGCATCAGGCTTTTGGAGAGCTTCCATTGTATTGCATTGCATTATATGTTTTAAAACTACAGAGCTTTTTATAATAAAACTAAGCATTTTAATATCATCTAGGCAATAAAGTGCCTGTTAAGCGCCAAAAAAAGCATCATAAAACTAGTCCACATTGACTGTATGTTTCGTGTCTTCTGAAGTCATACGATGGCTTTTTGACACGTGGTCATGATGAAGTGTCATATGATTGAGAGTTGCATAAAGATATGTCAGAGTTTCTCCTTTTGTGTTTCACAGAAGCCACAGTGTCTCAGTCTGGTCATATTTTGGTGCTTGTCCTCTGTGTGTTCATAGAAAGGCCATGTGAGGTTTGGCCGGGGCCCCGGGGCAGAGCGACTGGCTCTAATGCCGTTAATCTGGATCTGAGCCCCAACTGTGTCATAAACTCATATCACCCTCAGTGCAAAGTACCAGACATTAAGAGCAAGCTACTGTTTTATTCACGACTGTTGAAGTTCTCGAGGGAGGTCGAGATGTGATTAATTCGGTGCTGCTTTGAGATTTGTTCAAAGTATAAAAGTGTTTAATTAAATTGCCACTACATCTCAGAGAAGCCAAGCTGAAGTCAGTTGTTCAATAGCTGTCAGCGGGAATAATTAGCCGTTGCACTTTCGTTACTGTGGGGTTTATTGTTTTCCTTAAAGGAACAGTTCGCCCACAAATCAGATTTGGAGAAATGCTCACCAATGGATCCTCTGCAGTGAATGGGTGCTGTCAGAATAAGAGTCCAAACAGCTGATAAAAACATCACAATAATCCACAAGCAATCCACACCACTCCAGTCCATCAGTTAATGTCTTGTGAAGACAAAAGCTGTGTGTTTGTAAGAAACAAATCCGTCACTTAGATGTTTTAACTTCAATTCTTTGCTTCTGGCTAAAATATGAGTACATAATCCAAAATAATGCTTCCTTCTGAGAAAACATCCATCTCCTGTTGTCTCTCACATCAAAATCCACCCACATATTTGTTTAGAGCTGTTTTGGACTGTTTTTGATTGTAATGCTTGATCTGTGCAGATTTCTCTCCTGATTCAGACGAGATGACGTTTTCGCTGGAGAAAGCAGTATTATAGATTATTGTATCGTATTTTAACCTGAAGCAACGTTTTGATGTTAAAAACAACCTAATGATGGATTTGTTTCTTATAAGCATGCAAGTTTTTGCTTCACAAGACATTAATTGATGGACTGGAGTGGTGTGGATTGTTGTGATGTTTTTATCAGCTGTTGGACACTCATTCTGACAGCACCCATGCTTTTTGACTGGTTTGTATTTAGATTGGCTCTTTGTCATCAAATCTTCCCATTTCATCTGTATCGACAAACAAATGGTCATAGACTGCTGTGAAGCATCTGTCCTGGCACCAAACGGCGAGCACAGCGCACAATGCCAGACAGAGGAAACAGATTTTTCCAATATTGTCTCTGAGCCCCACAGTCCGGTGTTGGACTTGTCCTGGCACTGAGTCCTTTATACAGCACGGCTAAGACAGAGGAGAATTGTTCGCGAACCTCTTGAGGGAGGGCAGATATTAGCCCTGATTGCTCAGTAACACAGGTTTTTGTGCTCGTCGCAAAACTGTTGATTAATGTAATATTTTAGTCCAATTCTGTTCTTCAGTGTTGACAGAACTCGTATCAAATTGATCTGTCATCAGCTGTGTTAGACAGTAATTATTCAAATTAGGGCTGCGCGATAAATCGCATGCGATATTTAACGCACATCTTATCAGTAAAGCCGGTTCTGTAATCAGCGGTAAATCTCCATCACCTGCGTGCTTCACATTGAGCAGCATTAACTACACAGAGCCGTTGTTCACTGATGAGCTGCGCAAAAAATCACAGCTCGTCAGTGAACAACGGCTCTGTGTTGTTGGAATTTTTTAGTTTTTCAGTTCAGGGATTTCAGATATATATTTCAGTTTGGAGTCTATTTATTTATTTTTTTTAGTTTTTACATCTTTTGACATTTTAATATTTTCTTATGTTCATCAAGGCAGCATATATATATAATATAATTTTTTTTTACTGTTAATTTGTATTTTATCTGTCACACATGGCTCTTTGATTCATATTTGTGAGGTTTTGAGTGTTTTTCTTTGCTTTTATTTTCATAATATGTAGCTGTTTCTGCACTGATATCAAACTTACCCTTTAATTGTTACCAATAATCTGATAAAACAAATTTTTTTTTTAAGTATTTAAGCCACTAGATTGTCAAACACTGGCCCATCTCTGTATGATTTTGTTATATAATTTCCAGCAAAAATAACTGTATGGTGATTTAAAATGACTCATACGGTGGAATAGATTTTGGTCCTACCGCCTACCAGCTTTCAAAGTAGCTTTCAAAGTAGCTTCTCCTACACTGTTCAGCAGGCTAATAATACACCGCCGAGCATTATCATCAGGCTTCATGACACGCCATACCAAACCCAGAGTCTCGTCAGCAGATTTCAGCCCATGTTTTGTGGGCGACACATTCCTGACGCAGTCTGGCATGAGCGGAATGCTGTCCAGATTTCAGTATGTAAATGCCTGGCTTTGTCTCATCTCTTCCAGTGGCTCCAAAGCAGGGGCTGCTGGGAAAAGACGTGTGAAGAGACTTTGTACTGGGGTTGTGGCAGCATTCTGACAGTCCATCTTCTTGTGTTTTTCAGTCTCCACGTGTACGGCCGTCTGTAAGAAGAATCCTCCGCCTATTCCTCCTCGAACCACCTTCAAACCCTACATCGCGGTGACGGTCCAGAGCAGCACCGAATCGGCCCAGGACACGTACCTGGACAGCCAGGACCAGCGCAGCGAGGTCAACAGCCAATCAGGACGCAGCAACTCCTCCGACAGCATCGCCAGCTCTCAGACAGGGAGTCTGGTCAAGTGCGCCAAGCGGCAGCCCATCCTGCCCCCCATCCCTGCCCCGCGGGAACCCGTGCCCCTGCCCAGCGCCAGAGTGACCACGCCTCCTCCCGCCATTGTCCCGCCCTCTCCTGCCCCAGACTCCAAAAACGAGCCCGCAAGCCTCACAGTGGCACCCAACAAACCGCAAGCCCCGCCCAAAAGAAAACTCTCCTCCATTGGCATTCAGGTGTGTGTGTGTGAATATTTATGATGTCGTCATTATGCTTTTATGCTAGGGCTGTTCCATAAATCGCATGCGATTATCATGCGTATCTTATCAGTAAAGCCGGTTCTGTAATCAGTAGTAAATCTCCATCATGTGCTTTCAGATGGAGCAGCATTTACTACACAGAGCCGTAGTTCTCTGACAAGCTACGCAAAAAAATTTGCAGACGATATATTAATGGGATTATGAAATCGAAGAAATCGTTCGCGATAATTACAGCTGTTTGCGTAGCTTCTCAGTGAACTACGGCTCTGTGTAGTAAATGCTGCTCCATCTGAAAGCACGTGAAAATACCACATTTAATAACATGTTTTTACTCCAAACTCACTTCAATAACGTCAGTCGAGTGTTTGAAATTAAAGGGGTCATATGATGCTTTTTTAAAGATCATTATTTTGTGTATTTGGTGTAACAGAATATGTTGACATGCTTTAATGGTTTTTTCTAAAAACTGATAATTCTAATGCATTTGTGCATGATGCTGATAAGAAATTGTTATACAGATTGATTGTTAAAATTTTGAACAAAGATAAATTAAATGGAAAAATTGACACTCCATGGAGAGCTCGTTTAGGTTTGATTGATGGTGTTGGACCTGAATGGAGAGCGCTGTATAAACCTTCATTGTTGAAGAAAGTTGCTGATTTGCAATGGAGGATTTTACATTCAGCCTTAGCTGTCAATGCTTTTATTTCTGTGTTAAACTCTGATATTAATCATGACTGCCCTTTTTGTACTTTTTGTGAGACAATTTTTCACTGTTTTATGGATTGCTGTCGTCTCTTGCCACTGTTCTCAATATTGGAAGATATTTTTAAATTGTTTGGTGTAGTTTTTTCCAAACAGTTGTTTATTTTAGGCTATAGGTATTCCCAGAGAAAGAGAGAGCAATGTCAGCTTTTCAATTTCATTTTGGGAAGGGCAAAGATGGCTGTGTATATGAGTAGACGAAATAAGGTGGAAGGATCCACAGATGATAATGCTGTCTCTCTCTCTCTCTCTCTCTCTCTCTCTCTTTCTCTCTCTCGCTCGTATTTGAACAGTCAACAGCGCTCTCTCTCGCGCTCTCTTTCTCTCTCTCTCTCTCTCTCGCTCGCTCGCGCACACACACGATGTGCAAAACTTTTGAACAGTCAATAGCAGATACTTAAACTAATAACAAAAAAGTAGCTGATTCAGAAGCGCCAGATTGTCATAGCAAAGTCAGAATTACCTCCTCTCCTAGGTTCACGAAAC